CAAACTATGATTCTCCATAAAAATAGGACCGCCCCTCCACTCAGAGAGCTAGAGTGGGGAGGGCAGTACATGCAATCGCCCTCCCCCCAACCCCACCGAATCGGCCAAGATACCAGAAAGGGATTGACATAATATACAATGTATATATTAATTGAATTAATGTTGTTCACAAACTATGATTTCTCCATAAAAGTAGGACCGCCCCCCCCCCACTCAAAGGGTTTAGGTGGGAAGGGCAGTAGAGGTATTCGCCCCCCCCCCTCCCAATCGGCAAACAGGGAACGACATAATATAAAGATCGGTTAAAATATCAATAACAAATTTTAATCATATAGATATTTGATTCTGTTAGCAAGCTGTGATTTCTAGAAATAAATTGAACCGCCCCCCCACTCGAAAGTGTATTAGGGGGGAGGGGCGGGATTGATACCATCGCTCCCTTCCGACCCCACCAAATCGGCCAACATACTAGAGGGGGGGGGGCGAAATAATCTAAAAATAGGTTGAAATATAAATAATTAGTATATATTATTAACATAAGTAATAAATTCGTATACAAATTGTGTAAATTCTACGGCCGAGGGGGGGGGGGGGGGCGATCGCCCCTACTCCCCCCCCCCTGGATCCGCCAGTGCATAATATACAAATGGGTTAAAACATCAAACTGAAGCTTATATCATATATAAGATATTCAACTAATATTGTTCACAAACTATGAATTGGTTCATGAAAATAAAGGACCGCCACCCCCCCCCCCCCCCATTCAAAAGGCTACAGTGGGAACGGCAATAGAAGCAATCGCCCCCCCCCCCCCCCCCCCATCACCAAATCGGCTAAGATACCAGAAGTGTAGCGACATAATATAAAAATTATACAGTAGTTCAACTAATTTTGTTCAAAAACTATGATTTCTCCATAAAAGTAGGACCGCACCCCACCCCTCTCAAAGGGTTTAGGTTGGAAGGGCAGTAGATATATTCACCCTCTCCCCACCCCACCCAATCGGCCAACAGGGGGGGGGGCGACATAATATAGAAAACGGTTAAAATATCAATAGCAAGTTTTAATCATATTTAATTGATTTTGTTAACAAGCTGTGATTTCTACAAATAAATTGGACCGCCGCCCCCCTCAAAAGTTTATGGTTTGGGGGGGCGGGGGTATTTGATGCCATTGCCACCTCCTCACCCCACCAAATCGGCCAACATACTTGAGAGGGGTCGCAAAATAATCTAAAAATTGGTTGAAATATAAAAAAGCTAGTATATATTATTAACATAACTAATACATTCGTAGACCAATTGTGTGATTTTTTAACTAAAATTCGTCCGTTCCTCTCCTTCGGAGCTGGAAAACAGGAAGTTATGGACAGTCTTGGCATCTGAAAAGGAAATCAGAGTCAATAAGTCTGTCGTGATTGTCCGTGTGTTTTAGTTGCAATTAGAGTTGCCTCGCTTTCGTTTGTTATTTGGTTGAGTTGCCTGCCTTAGATCTCTTACAAGCTTTTCGACGGGAAAAGTTGAAGCGAGGAGGCGTGGTGGCTGAGCGGTAAAGCGGGTCCGGCGGGTCTCGGGTTCGAATCCTGGGATTTTTAATTTCGGGATCTTTGGGCGCCTCTAATGGGTATCTGATATTAGTTCGGGTAAAGAAAAGGCGGTTGGTCGTTGTGCTGGCCACATGACACCCTCGTAAACCGTACGCCACAGAAACAGATGACCTTTAAATCATCTTTTCTATAGATCCCACGGTCTGAACGGGGAACTTTTACTTTAGTTTAAGAAAAAGTGTTTTATTTGAAATGTAAAATGATTCAACTATTTGATTGCCTGTTCACCGTGTTGCAATGTAACTGTGTTTCTGAGGTTCTGTGTCACTGTTACAGAGAGTTAGAGAGAGAGAGAGAGAGAGAGAGAGAGACTATTTGATAAGAAAGAATAACATTATTCAAAATATTGATCTTATCTTGTATATTACAGACGTTACTTCAATAAATCCAGTAATTGCGTTTTATGCATTTCATGTGTTAATTTAGTCATATTCCACAAATGAGATTGGGCCATGGCGCTATGAGCATTCTATAAGCATGTAAGTATCGCAATATAGAAGTTATAAATATTATATTCTAATATTGGCCTAACTTAAGTTAAATAGCATTTTAGTTTTATGTTCTTGCCTAATCTATAAAAATTTCTTTTATTAAACCCTAATGTTTTGCTAATAAATAATTTTATCAATATGGTAATTCTATATTTCGTTGAGTTGGCTCCCTTAGATCCTTTTCAAGTTTGAAGCTTTTCTAAAGGATGTAATTTTTTGAAAGTTATTTTTACAAATATCATTTTAAAACTATTATTGACTAAATTATGGCCGGATATCTTGCTGGTTCCTCAAACTGTCATAAGTTTTGTATTCTTGTGTAGTCGATTCTTTCTACACACTAAACTATTGGTTGTTATGGGTTCCTGTTGTATAGAAAACATTGCTATGCATTTCGCTTGGTGCTAAGGGGTGGTTGGATGGGACGTGGAGGGGGATTCCTGGGAACTGATCAAATCAGAAGCCAACGGAATTTACTTTTTATGTGTACTTTATATTTGTGGTAGTGCAAATATTTGCATAATTGAATTTCCGGGCTGAATACGGTCAGTGTGAATGTTTGCAGAAACACTATTAAGCGCTGAGCTTTGAGGACCGGAGCGGGGGCTGGGGAATAGTTTCTAGATAGTACATGCTATTCGGGTAGGTATGTTAAGGACTGCATCGTTTTATGACTACTGGAAGAGTCGAGAATAAGGTTTAAAAACTCCTTCTTTCCCATAATTATAGAAGTGTTAAAGGTTATGAATGTGTATGTGTTTCGTGTGTGAATGTTGTTCGTATTTGCATCTACATTGTTATTGAACAGTAGTTACACTGAGGTTGTCAATTTTAGTGAAACTGAATTTCCATTCGATTGGATCAATAAAAATTATCTTATCTTATAATCAGGGAATTTTTAAATGAGAGGATTCAGTATTGTCTCCCTTTTCTCCATTTAGCAAAGGTTTGCCTGTGTTGAAATAATCTTTTTTTTAAACAGCTTTATCAACTCTGTCAGTCTGGTTGTCTGTCAGTCAGTTGTCTGTCAGTCGGTTGTCTGTCAGTCTGATTGAAATCTTCTTTACGTCGTTTCTCCCACTTCCCATTCTCGGATCAAATTCAAACTTTGCACAAATATTCATTGTCGATGAAAACATATTATTAAAAAAAACAAAAAAAAAAACAATTTGCCAATATATTAGTCGTAATTAATTAACTAATTTTTTTTTTTTTTTTTTATAGAAAACATACAGCGCTTAAGGGAGATAAGCCTTGTGTTGAGAATTAGGTCGTCCGCTAAAAATTTTAAACAAACAACCTTTTATTATATTTGTAAAATACCACTGACTGACTGACTTAATGACTGACTCAAAATCAAGAAATCTCTTAAACTGTTGTACGGATTCGCATGAAATTTGATACACACGTTCCTTTTACCAACTAGAACCGGTTTAAACAGATTGTCAACCTAACCACCACTACTCGCGAAAAAACCGCAAGCTTTCTATCAAACCATTGTATTTTATTTTCGGTATTTTCCCAAAATGCCACAGTCTATATATAAGGCATTAGCAAATATCACATACTTACTTTAAATAAGCCTTAGGCCATTTCTACTTTTTTTGGACACGGTCTAAATAAACGAAACTAATCCTAGTAGCATTAAAAATATAGGTTTTGAATAGATCAGTGGTTAGAACGTCCACCTTCCTTCATAGGGATGATGACCTCGAGTTAAATATGAAACTCAAGCAACTTCTTTTTTTTAAATTGCTTTTGAAAAGACAGCACGGAAACCTTCTCTAGATACCACTTCCCCCCTCCACCCAACCGTTTTTGGTCCACAAAAGTGTTTACACCATAGCGCACTGAACATGCTCTAATTATAAAAGTTGCGTGGTTGCGCTAAACAAGAACACTAGATAAAAATATTTTCAATAGCACTACTATAGTGTTAGTGTATGTCTATTTACATTTTTTTTACATGATCGCTTATGTCCCTTTAGTTGTTTTTTTTTTTAGGACGAATTGACTGGTCACTGTATTTAATAACAACAGAAGAAATGCACGGTTAGATTTATCATAACTTTGCTCAAATGTTATACATAATTTTTAGGTCTAGGCCAAGTAAACTTCTGTAACTAAAAATTGAGTACTATTTTGTAAGCCTTTCAAATACTCTTCATAAATTCAGATAGTTGTCTTAAAGTCTATCTAGCTTTTAATGTTGTTAAAATTTGTCCTAGCATATGAAACGAGATGAATGTCTTTATCTTTGTGTCTTTCTGAGTATTTTATTAGAATTTGTTTTTGTATTTGAAGATTATGGTTCAGTGTTTTATGCATAAATGCTACTTTACTTTTGAGTGATTTCTCAGTCATTGACTTCATTTGTTACTTATCAAAGAGGTTCTCTCGTATATATTCATGTGTCATTATTAAATTTATATTCATGAATAAATTCGAACTGATATTGACATTCATGTCTCAGTTCTGTATGTGGGTAAGGTTGTAATATAAAGTGAATGTTGTTTTTTTTTTTTAAATAAAATTAAAAGTTTATGGAAGACTCCTGACTTCTCATGTCTACATTTCAATTTGACTGAAATTGACATGATAAACTTTTATCAATTTAACTTACAATTAAGTCATTTTAAGTACTGCTTATTATGTAATCATTGAAATAGTATTTGGATTGTATTTGTTATTTTGTCTGTCCATCTTTGTGTCTGTCCACTTACACCTTTAATGTATCTATCTGTCTGTCTATCTATCTATCTATCTGTGTATCTATCTATCTGTGTATCTATCTATTTATCTATCTATCTATCTATCTGTCAGTCTATCTATGTATCTATCTATCTATCTCTAAACACAAGACAAACCAACAAACGTCTAAACAAAACCAAACAACTCTAGCCTTGCATCTCACTACTACATAAAGCGTTTTATTTGTTTCAATGTTTGCTGGAAGCACAATCAACAGGTCAGCTTCTTGAAAAGAAAAAAGAAATAAGAGACACAATTTTCTTGTTGAAATATGAATGTAGCGAACATGTCACATGATCCATTCACGTGATAGCTAATTTAAGGGAGGGAAGGGAGATAATACAATGATTCTGACCCAAATAAAATGTAATTAATAATAAACAAACATAAAATGACTCTATCACTTGTGACAGAAATAGAAAAAAAAACAACACCAGACTGTTGTAGTGAGGAGACTCAACAAAAATCTAAACAGTGACTCGTAGTATCTCTACGTTGAACAACACAGAAGTTTCATGTACAGGAAGAAATTAAAAGTGTACAGAAGACGTTGAAAATATAAAAATATGAAGTGAACAATATCCAAAGGTAACCTAAACAAAACACAAATGATCAAACTAATATTCAAAATAAGTGTCATATCCCTGGCACAACAGCTACAATACATTGTGATCTTTTCAAACTTTGTTCCTGAAATGTGTTCACCAAGACATGGCCGTGGAATTTTTAATGAATGAAACTTTGTTCTGTTATCGTTTTATATATTTCAAAACAACTTGCTGGGAAATAATCTAAATAGTTCAAAGAACTTCCCTAGGGAAAAAAAAAAAAAAGCAAAATCATGTTCACGATGGTTCACATAGAAAAAAAAATAGATTGATGACATCTTCACTTTTATTAAATAGTGGAATACTTTCATTTAGTTGTTGCTTTTTTTTTTTTTTTTATGAAAGAAACTTGCCTATACATATTTACATATGCATTCATTGACCCATCTCTCAACTGAATTATACAAGTTTCCGAGTGTGTGTATAGACAAAAGTTTTTTAAAAGTACATTACACACACATATATTTTACAAAAGTGAATTATCCATAAAAAAAAAAAAAAAAAAAAAAAAAAAAAAAAAAATTCTGGTCAAACTTACAAGTTAAGAATCACCAATTGAGGAACGTTGAAAAAAAAATAATTAAAAAAGGTTAAAATATTGAATCATATTGTATAGAGGTCAATGAAATACTTTGAAGTAAAAAAAAACAAAACTGAATTATAGCATAGAGAGGTGGTTTCTTGAAGTGTACTTCACACATAAAATAACGTCTGTGAATGTAAGGGTATCGATCAAGTCACGTGGTTCAATATAACAATTACACACAAACACAAAGGAACTAAATAGTGGAATAAAGCAAATACATGAGAATAAAAGGGCTCTAGAGTTGATATCAAGAAATCCCACTCTGTGTTGCTTTGGTTTAAGTATTTAAAAAAAATATATATATATATTGTCAAGGGAGAGAGTATCGATCTCTAGACAGCTGCAAAAGTGGTCAGATTTTTAAAAAAAATACGTTGTGGTTCCCCGTGTGCCATTTTGGGCTTTAGTTCACTAGAAACTTTTAACTCATTTGGCTGACATATTTACTGAGTAGGCCCTACGTACAAAAATATATATTTAGATTTAGATCTATAGATCTATATCTGTACAATTAGAAAAAAAAAGCTTGGACCAATAAATAACTAGAATATTTAAACATAAAATGTATATAGCAACATGTCAGAATCTATAATGAATTACACATAAATTGTTACACAGGATTAGGAACACAAAATCAAAATATTATGAGAAAGAGTGAAAAAAGAAAAAAAATACATTTTATCGAGAAAGTCATTAAAAATATGGAACATGCTTTTCACGAACTGAACGAAACAAAAGATGTATATTGTTTTGTTTTTTTTTCATATGTATCCGTCACAACAATGAACATATGGAGTTTATGCTATACATACTATTTACATAAATCTTTGGTACAGTTTGGGTTGATATACAACAGAAGATAATAGAGTCATTCATAGATAACTTGACGTCGGGCAGTATCAGCGATGACTGCTACTAAATAGGCCTCAGGCGAGACTCAATATTCCAGACATTGAATAAACTAAAACCTATCTGACTGCCACGGGAATGGCATTGCATTCTTTTCGCTGACAGTGTCATCACTTGGCACTGTCATATGACAACACAACAACAAAAAAAAAGGAACGTAGTCTCATGATATTATGTGTCAATGATAAAAGATGTTGCACTTCCGCAGTTTATTGCTAGCCTCGCTTTGAAACAAGTGCAGACGACAGCCTCGGACACACACACACACACAATTACAATGTGAAGGTCAAAACAAAGATGGAGAGATGGCAATGGTGGACGTGGTTTAAAATATATGTGTGTGTGCTCGAGAGCGCTTGAGAATGTCAAAAAAAAATATCTGTTGAAGCACCGGGTCACACAGCGCCTTCTGTGTGTTGTGTTATCTATTGATATGGATTATGAGACGAGTGATTTAATCTGTAGTATCGTGCATCGCTATTCCTTAATAGTTCTTCTATGTGCATTTCGCCATAAAAGTTAGACATAATGAGAACCTCGGCGTTCTAATTGACACACGGGTTGGGGGCATGTCATTCAACGCCCTCTGGTGTCAAATGTCAACTTCCAGTCACTAGTACCAAGTAAATGTCAGCCAACATAGCTCGGTGTTTTAAACTGTGTCATCTGCATGCAAACAGTACAGTATGCCGTAATTTTTTATATGCCAGGTATTGAGTGTCTAACATGTCAAGCATACTTCTCTGACATACGTCAAACCTACTTGTCTGACATGTCAAACCTACGTCTCTGACATATGTCGAACCTAGCAAAAGATGGCTGCATCGTTTGAATATTGTCTGTTAAGTAAACGCCATCTGCTGGTTTGAAGTGTAGGGCACATTAACTGCTAAAAGGAGCTAACAAATGACTAATACATTGCACCAGTGACTGATATCTACATGACACTTAAGACTGTCAACTCAATGAAACCAGTAACTGACGACGACATAGGCCTGCATTAAGTAACAGATTATGCTGCCAATAGTTTAATGGACATAATTAACACGATATCAAATTTAATTTCAAAAGAAAAAGAAAAAAGCAAGACTCGCAGTTAACAGTGTAGACAGATAGGGGTCGCTAGCTGTAGTGTCATAAAAAATGACTTGTGTCACTCTGCCATCTCACGTAACGCTGTCAAATGGCTAACATATTATGTAACGAAGTATTTACGTATATTTTTTAAAAAAATATAAAACAACTTCAAATCCTTCACAAAGAAAAAAAAACGCACTCACATATGCCATGACATCTAACGCTGCCCACTAAGATGACATATGCCATTTAAAAGAGAAAAAAAATTATGAGACGCATGAACAATATACATTAGAAAATATTAACTTGAAATGGAATGAAACAGATTGTAAACATCGTCAACAAAGAGATTTTTGTTTTCAGCTCGTCCAGGTTTTGGTTTCTGAAGAACTTGTTAGTGTTAGAATCTCTAGTGTATGTTAGTCAACTATTAGGGTCAGTGACGTGATGGCAGACCGGAGCCGTGAATAGAAAAGTATAAAGGTCGGGGGGTAGGGGGGTCACTAACCTATGTAACAACACGAATGTTTTAAAAATAACTCAATATATGTATGATAAAATATCTGTGTAAAAACTGAAAATGTTTGGACGAATGAGAAAGGGTGAGTGTGGAGCGAGACAGAATGAGACCCTGTGTGTCAAAAAAAAAGTGAGGATAGGGTGCCGGTGAAAAAAGGTGCTAGTGAATAGGGCGCCGGTGAACATGGTGCTATAGGTGCTAGTATTCTGACTGATCTGTATGCCAAGATACTGTGTGTCCGCCATAAGTTTTGCTAAAGTTTTATGTTTCAGTCAGTTCGCCACGCTGACAATGACCACGAATGACATCGAATGAGACAACGAAACCAAACTACCGCACAACTTTATAACTAACAACTCATTGAAGAAGAAAAAATACATATATATCAAAGACATTTCAAAAATGTTCAAATATCAATCTAATCTGTGTGAAAGAGGGGGGGGGGGTGGCATAAAGTGGACAGTTGAACAATAAGACGCAGTAAACATTTACAGTGAGTAGATCATAGACATTGGCCATTTGGGTCGAGAAATAGGTACTAAATCTAGATCATTGGTTTTGCATGGAGTTCCCCTTAGCATCATACAAGAATTTAGCTGTCGTGTGGTTTCACAAAAGTTAAAACAAACAAACAAACAAACAAAAAAACACCATTCAATTATGTACAGGCAGAAATAAAAGAAACAGAAAATAGATGAGGAGCTCACTTCCGGTGTTATCCAAACAAAAATAAATAATTTAGAACTACAATGTGGCACGTTAAGAATAAATCAATAGAAGTGAATATGAATGCATTACATTTACATATATTTTAAAATACCGTGTATAGATTTTGGCTCTAAAGATGAGATAGATAGATAGAGAGGGAGAGAGAGAGGAAAGGAGAGAGAAACAACAGCATTGTTTTAAACAATAATATGTGACAGCGTGTCACGTGACCCATTAAACAGCCAATGAAAACTTGAAGAAAACAAAATGGAAAAGCAAGGAAACACAGAGTTTCGTGATAGTATATATTAAATAGCAATTACTTTAGAAAACAAAATGAATGTTAAGTCCGGCTCTGAGAATGTGGACTCTTGGACATAAAGGTTGAATCCGTTCATGAGAATGTGGTGCAAACAATAACACAATAGAAGGGGGGGGGGGAAAGGAGACATTTACCATAACAATTCATCTTAAATAGTCGTCGAGAAATCACAGACGTACAAAGCGGCTGTAGTAGCCACCTCTATGTGCTCTTCATCTGGCCGCTGCTACAGATTGGGGCTATGCAGTTCCTTGCCCTTTCTGCACTTTATAATTGCCAACATTAAGCTGGCAGTAGCTCAGTGGAAGGGTTGGACCTAACTGCCAAACTAATATACGATATAGTCTTAGCCTTTGAAAAGGTTTACAAGACAAGCTCAGACTAATACAAGCGCACTCCCGACCATATTGACAATACATGCAATGTCATAGAAAGTGGCTTTGGTACTGAAACATATGCTATGAAACTTAAAAGAGGTCAATACTTTTGTGTTTAAGGACAAGCGACAATGAATTGAGCTCTCCAAAACTAATGAGACGAGTACCTAGTGACGATTGAATCATTTCTAAGAATATCCCCACACACACAAAAGGAACAAGTTGTACATAATAACAAAAAATGTAACATAGTAATACATAGCACTACGCATAGCTGAACGGACAGGAGATGCGTTTTTATTTGTTTTATAGTATGTCAATATATATATATATATATAATATACGTATACCAACATTTAAAATATATATATATATATAACAACAAAAATCATAGAATCACGCATTGAAATACTGAGATAATACAAATACAACATTATACAGAGTGAGTCGCGGTTGAGTCTCAAAACTCTGGGAGTCCTAGACACCTTGAATGTACGGAAGGATCTTGTTCTTGAATCTCGAAGCAATCAATTGGAAAGATTTAAGAACCGTCGACATTTGAGGGGGGTGGGGGCGTGGGAGTGTGGAGAGAGCAGTGGGGAGAAAGAACCCCGCTCAAATGTTTATAGGATACATCCAATTAATACACATCGTATAAACCTTGTATATATATATATAATATATTATGAAATGCGAGACAGAAGAATGAACTTGTTGATTTGTTGTAATGAAATTTGGTTGATATCTTTCTGAATATTCAACAAAATTACGTCACATTTGCCCTAAAGGTCTTATTTTTTATGTCATATATTAGGACCAAAAAAATTAAACTTTTTTTTTCCCCTGTTTTAATGATGTCAGTGACATCATGTTACTAACATTATTATTTTTTTTATATTCTCTTCCCTTGAACAAACAGAGAATCAAAGCGTATGGCTGTTGGTATTGCAGTTTTTATCTCAATGTCCTAGAAGACTGCATGTAAAATATCTACATAGTGAAAACACCCTGCCCCA